AAAGGCACCCACCCCAAACTCCATTTCCTCTAACCAAGCTGGCCCAATGGATGACGTTTGCTCGGTGGGCAATTTTTGGGAAGGCTACAACCTGGAGTAAAAGAGGGGGTGTAGGAAGGGAGAAAGAAAAGAGACGGTCCTTGCTGTCCAAGGCCACCTCATTCCCACACTAAGGGACGCCTACTCAACGAACGGAGCTGCTTGGCAACCCTTTTAAACAGAAGGTTTTAAGGACCTCCTTAGAAAACTGAACAATAATAATCAAACCAAACAATAACAATCCTGTGTACATTGTGCATTTTCGCCTCCCTGGCTACGCAAGGGGAGCATTTCTAAGTTTCAGGGTGACTCTATAGCCAACTCCTCTGGTCCCCGGTTCCCACTACGTTGAAACAGGTTGAGGGGTCGGTCTTCTCCTTTGTCAACCATGCCAAAGAGGCCCCTGCGCCCTTCTTACCTTTCCTGGGAAAAAGACAAGGAGCTGCCGGGCCGAGAAAGCGGTGCAGGTAAGAGGGAAACGGGAATCAAAGGATGACCAGGCAGGTGCAAGGGAACGGTGATGCCTAACTGGGGTTCAGGAAGGCTTGGAGGCCACAACAGGTGAGGGAGACTTCTTTGAAAGAGGAGAAACTCCCAGGTGCCCAAAGCGCCCCTATTAAGCAGGAGGGCTGGGTCCCTCCCTGTGCCCCTGAGGGCCCTCCTGGTACAGATAGTCCGTCGCAAGAAAACAGCCCAAGGTAGGTTTGGCCCTGACCCTCCCCTCCCCTCCCCCTAGGACCCCAGCGGTTCTAGTTAGAAGAGAAACAAGCCGTCCTGGATTCTTCCTGCGCTTTCTGGTTTCTCGGGCCATCTAAGCTAAGCTGCTCACTCCTTCCTTCCTCCGCGCCGTGCAGCAGGTCGCCATCTCCAAACAGGAATGCAAGCAATCCCTCTTGCTCTGTGCTGTCCTCCTCCTCCTCTCTAAGCCCTGCCTCGCCTTCACCTGGGGAAAGGCAACAGGGGAGCCATCAGCAGGGAGGGGAAAAGGGAGACAAGAGGCAGAGCAGACTCACGGCTCCTGCTTGAGACAGGGCTGCCGGGGGACACCACACGAGGCACCCCCGCTTGTCTGTATCCCACCTTTTGTTTTTTTTCGCAAATAACGGACATATCCCACAAATGCTCCTCCTGTTTGTTCCCCACAACAACACGGTGAGGAGGGTTGGGCTGATTGGTCCAAAGTCACCCCGCTGGCTTTCATGCCTAAGGTAGGGCTAGTACTCACCGTGCCCTGGGGATTGGCCCGCCCAGCCAGTTTTCAGGCCTAAGGCGGGACTAGAACTCAACATCAAACAGGGATTGGCCCGAAGTCACCCAGCCAGCTTTCATATATATTATACAGGGTGAGATTAGAACTCACCATCTCCTGAGGATTGGCCCACCCAGCCAGTTTTCAGGCCTAAGGCGGGACTAGAACTCACCATCTCCCAGTGATTGGCCTGAAATCACCCAGCGGTTTTCATGCCTAAGGCGGAGCTAAAAGTTTCCTGTCTCCTGGTGATTGGCCCAAAGTCACCCAGCTGCTTTTTATCCCTAAGGCAAAATTAGAACTCACAGTCTCTCACTTTGTAGCTGGTGCCTTAAACCAGGGGTCGCCAACCTTTTGGACCTCAGGGACGACCAAACTCATAATTTTAAATCCCGCGGACCAGACACCCTGGGAAAATCCCACAAAAAGTCTGCAGGTAAATTCCCCACCCTGTTTTCCTACCGATCAATCATTCCTTATTTGGGATTGCAGGATACCATGTCCAGCTCTGTTCTCAGGGGAAGGGAGAGAGGGAGGGAGGGAGAGACTTTTGACCTCTTGCAAGGAAAGCAGCAGAAGCAGCAGAAGTCTTTCTTTCTGACCCCCAAACTCCGCCAGAAATGAGTCTTTGCCGGCACAGCCTCTTGGAGCAGGAGGCCTTGCAGGGTCCCAAAGACTCCTTTCTGGCAGAGTTTGGGGGAGAGAAAGAAAGACTTTTGCTGCTTTCCTTGCATGCAGCCAAAAGCAGAAGAAGAAAGAAGCAGAAACAGCCTGGTGGCCAGGCGAGGCACGTGGGGCAAGTTACCCCCGCTGCCCTTTCCCCCCTCCCCTCACTACCTCGTGATGTTCGCAATGCAAGCCTTGTGTTCCTGCGGGCCATGTGGGTAGTGCAGCCTTGTGTTCCCATGCAACCAGGATTAATGGCTTTGGGGGTGACATTTCTCTGCGGACCACCAAAATTTTCTCATGGACCACTAGTGGTCCCCGGCCCACTGGTTGGCGACCACTGCCTTAAACCACTAGGCCAAATTGGCATTCCTTTCTGGGTGTGTCCAGGTGTTCATATATTATCTGGGGGGGTGTCATCAGAGGCAGGAAGGGGCCTGCATGGAAATCCAAGGGAAGGACATGGTATTCAGGGCTTTGGTTTGGTAGAGCGTGAGTGGTTTTTAAAAGCAGCAGGTTTGTAGAGGTGGTGCCCACTCTTATTGTGAGCAATGCCAAACAATGTGTCAGGAGCAAGGCGGTAACAGCGCATGCTTGCAGGTCAGTGTTCTGCTTAGCCCTTCATCCGTCCCGTGGTAGCTAAAAGTGCCAAACAGTGGCAATGGCCGGCTGGGGAATTCTGGGAGTTGAAGTCCACGCAGTTGAAAGTTGCCACGGTTGGGAAACCCTGATAACAGGTGACTTCTTTCAGATCCAATATGGTATTATGTCACCCAAAAGGTAAATGCATAATTCTGCCCACTTAGTGAAGAGCTAAATTGTTATGAGTATTTTATGTTAAGGTACAGAACGCTCATTAGGCACCATTAGACCATTTAAACCTCACAACGCAGGTGTCAAAATGTATTTTGAAATGCTCGAAGTTAAGTAAGATCTTCTCTTCCTATTTGCATTAAATACTAAAGTATTAAAATCATTAAAGTGCTAATTTCATGTTCAGAGTTCTCCCCCTTCCTTTGCAAGCATTTTCTTCCCAACTCCTCCCCCGTCCCCCACCTGGGGTCACTTCTCTGCCCTGCCTTCTCCCTCTCAAATAAGAGCTTGGCTGCCATTGGCAATTGCGCCCCAAAGCAGGAGCAATTTACAGTGGGATGGAAACGTAACCTGAATGGGTGAATCAAAAATCTTCTAAATGCAGTGCGAACCCAGCTATTTTAAGTGCTGGCCTCAAAAATAAACTTCAGAAGGGGTGGAGGAAGAAAGAGCTTCCAAAATCCGTGGGGGAAATAACAAAGAAATAAAGCAACAGAGGAACCCTTTGCAGCCTCTCTAACTTTGCGTCCTCCAAGTGGGCGGATATGGCAAATTGGAGAATTCTCCTGCCTCGTGGAGACCTGGAACTGTACACCAGACACCTCTGAATGAAACCAGAGAGAAGCCTCATCCAAATCCAACCTGCCCCAGTCATCGCCCTCCGAGACAGAACCCAGCAATAATGAGGTCCGTCGCCCAACGCTAAAGTCCTTTCAACCAAGGGAGGGCGGCGTCTCCTCCGTTTGCGCTTCCAGTCTGGTTTTCCTAACACTCAACCGAATCTATCTTCCTGTTGACTTAAGCGTACCGGATAGTCCCTCCTTCTGCGGAGAAAGACTTCTGCATTAACAGACCCCAAGTTCAAGGCAAAAAAGCACCATCAATTCAGACTGGATTGCTGGAGCGTTCAACACCAAGGACTCGAGCAACGAAGGAGCCGGTTAAAATACAGATCTGGAACCATTTTCGGTTCTTTCAAAATTCCCAAGGGGGCAGGAGTATAAAGGAACCCAGTCTTACCCCCGTGCAATTTTGGGGGTGGGTGGGTGGGTGTTGGGTTCTTTTTCTTGCCATCCTATTGAAAGAGGGAAAGGACAAGCAGTCCGATCCAGAAGTGGATCCCTCTGATTCTTCATGGCCACCCCAGCCCCTAAATGGACCTCTGGGTTCCCCAAACGTCAAGATAGCTATCTCTGCCGCTGTAAGCAACCCCTCCTGGCTGATTGGAGAGCAAGCTACAGATAGTCCTCGACTTACAACAGTTCGTATAGTGATGGTTCAAAAAGCATTGAGAAATGTGACTTGTGACCGTTTTTCAGAGTTACGACCTTTGCGGCCTCCCCATGATCGCGGGATCAAAATTCAGATCACTTGGCAACTGGTTCATACTTATGACCGTTGCTAATGTCCCAAGGCCTCTTTTGTGACCCGATAAGCAAAGTCAATAGGGAAAGCAGAGTCACTTCACAACTGAGTTACTAGCTAATCAACTGCAGGGATTCACCTAATGACTGTGGCAAGGAAAGTCATAAAATGGAGCAAAGCTCATTTAACAACGTCTCGCTTAACCACAGAAATTTCGTGCTCAATTGTGGCTGTAAGTTGAGGACTACCTGTATAAGGATTGCCTGACTTATGACAACCGGGACCGGAATTTCCATTGCTAAGCAAAGTGGTTAAGTAAGCCAAACCCTCTTACAACCTCTTTTTGCTACAGTCCTTAAGCGAGTCATTCTGCTTCTTAAGTGACTTATGTGGTTGTTAGCTGAATCCGGCTTCCCCCGTTGCCTTTGCTTGTCGGAAGCCAGCAGGGAAGGTCACAGCTGGCCGTCAAACGACCCAGGGGGTTATGTGCCGTAACCGTTGGAAATACACGTGGGTGGCTAAGCAACCGGACTTCAGTCATGTGACCCTGGAGATTCTATGACAGTCCTAATTGTGAGGACTGTCACTGTTTTTAGAGGCCCTGTAACTTTGGATGGTCGTTAAATGAATGGTTGTAAGTCAAGGACTACCTATACTTAAGATGGAGACAGATCTACAGTCTCCTTTTTAAAATGGACCCTGAGCAAACTGCTACAGCTGCACACAAAGCCTCAGGATGGCTGGGGGAAATGCCAAGAAGAACCCATCAGCCCGCAAAGCTAGAGAAGTCACCAAACTCGCTCTGCTCCTTTTAGGCTCCTCGGGGCCACCGTCCCTTCTCGCTTCCAGCCCCAGCCGCCTTCCTTACCTGGCATGGTGAAGTCCTGAGTGTAAATGATCTCGTCCTCCAGGTAGTCGTCTTTTAAGTCATCCTCCTCCTCCTCGTTGTAGCCATGGAGGTCTTCCAAGTAAGGCACCACCGTCATGCTCCTCCACCGATCCTTCGTCTCCGGGCTGGGCGGGATGGCGATGGGTGGCTCACACTGAGGGTGCTTTTTCCGAAACCAGCTAAAGGAAACCAAGGTTTTAGTGCTTTGGGACCAAGGATGTTTCACTGGTTTCCTACAGGCTGGTGGGTTTCTTAACCTTTGGCCACTTTACGGTGTGTGGACTTCAATTCCCAGAATTCCCCAGCCGACTGACTTGTGCAAACAGTTCAACAGCACCTTATTTTCTCACAATGGCCTCACTGGATTCACGTGAAAATCTGCCCAAGGTCTTTTTGGGGGGGGTGAATGGAAAAAAGAAAGTCACTTTTCCCCATTTATTCTCAGAGGCTGTTTAGTAAGGCTCCACTGAGAAGTTGAGGTCCACACACACACACTGGTTTTCAAGTTCTTGCGTCTCCCCAAGGTAACTGAGCCAGCAGCCTTCACCGTCCACAACAACACAACATCGCACCTCTTGGTGGAACGGATAATAGAGAGAGAAATAAATGGCACCCTATTCTCAGTGGCCTGGAAAGAAAAGCCCTTTAAGGCCTCACCCACCCTTGGCTGCTTCATCATGAGGGAGCCAGGCAGCTACAGGTATGACTTACAATCACAATTGAGCTTAAATTTTACTTTGCTAAGCGAGACAGTTGTTTTGCCCCAGGTTACGACCTTTTTCTTTTTTGCCACAGTTGTTAAGTGAATCACCGCAGTTGTCAACATGGTTCTTAAGTGAATCTGGCTTCCCCGTTGAATTTGTTTGTCAGAAGGTCACAAAAGGGGATCACATGCAGGGGTGGGATGCAAAAATCCCAGTAACCGGTTTGCTGCCCGGTTGCTGGGTGAGCGGGACCTACTGGAACTTCCTGTTTCCGGCTTCTGGTGGGCCTCCAGAGCCCGAGGGAGGCCATTTTTGCCCTCCCAAGAGGCCTCCCCCTGGGCCTCTGGGAGGGCAAAAACAGCGCAGACTCTGAACTTGCCCCCATCAAAAATGGGCCGCGTGGAGACTCCTTGGAAGAGGAGGGGAGGTGCCAGCCAGTTGTTTGAAATATCGGGTCGGCAAACCAGCTGTAGGTTTAACATCCGGTTGGCCCGAACCAGTCTGAACCAGTAGAATCCCACCCCAAAATCACATGGCTCCAGGACATTGCAACCATCATAAATGTGAGCCAGCTGTCAAGCAGCCGAATGTAAATCACACGACCAACAATGGTTCTAAGTGTGAAAAATGGCCCTAAGTCACTGTGCCGTTATAATTTCGAAAGGTCGGTAAACCAACTGTTGTAAGCCAAGGACTACCTGTACTTAAATCCGTATTGTTCAAGGAAGGTTTGGCCATGCAGCCATCGCCAAGGTGAGAAAAAAACCAGAATTCTTAATTATGATCAACTCTCCCCACGGCCTCCTATGAGGTCAGTGTGTCCCCAGCTGGAGTCAGTTATAGCAGTGTCAGAAATGGCGTAGGGTCTCCCGCTTGGGCGGGTGGTTGGACTAGATGACCTACAAGGTACCTTCCAACTCTGATTATCTGTCATCCGTTATCAGGCTTGGGGCAGGGAATTAAAGATTACTTAGGAATAATCCTTGCGAAGATCTGCCCTTAAGCCTCTGATTCATTTGATGTAATTTGTTGAATTTTTGCTTTTGACTTCCTTCCAAACCTCACCAGTCTTCGAAATTTCTTCAAAAGCAGAGAGGATAGAAAGAAATAGGACGAATATACGGTCATCCAAAGCTTTGCAGCTTAAAGCAAGCTTTAATTGTGTGTGTGAGAGAGAGATGGAGAGATATTTCTCTGGGCTTGCTCCTCTGTAAAGCTCGGCATTAGTGAAAATCGAGGTGCCATGTTTTATGGCAGGTTCTTTATCAAGGCAACGGTGGTTGCATAGCCCCTGGCAACACAGAAGAATCATCATCATCTCTGGCTTGCTTGCAATTCGCTTTTGGGCTCTTCCTTGAAGCCACAGAATGGCCTCTGAGTTCATGAAATGTGGTAGGTCTGGCAATTGGCTCATACTTATGACGGCTGTCGTGTCCCACCTTGGTCGTGTTATCATCTTTTGCAACCTTCTGACGAGGAAAGTCAATGGGGAAGCCAGATTCACTGAACAACTATGTTACTAACTTAACTGCTGGGATTCCCTTAACAACGGTGGCAAGAAAGGTCTTACAGTGGGGCACTCACTTAGCAACTGTGTTGCTCAGCCACGGAAAGTTTGGGTCAACTGTGGTCGTAAATCAAAGACCACCTGTATTGTGTGAATCCAACCCAGGGGTGGTGGAATTCTACCGGTTTTGACTGATTCGGGTGAACAGGTGAGGATTTGGCCCCGCCCACCCGCCCCCGTCCTTTTCCTGTGCTTTATTTCGCTGTTTTAGAGCACAGCTGATTCATGCGGCAGGGTGGTTTGCCTTGCCTCAGCTGGTTTATTCACAGGGGTTGCAGGAGAAGGTAAGTATTAGAGCTAAAAATGGGCTTTTAACGCGGAGCCGCACCGGTTGTTACACCGGTTGAATCGCACCACTGATCCAACCACGTGAGATTCATTCAGCATCCCACTACGGGTAACACTCAACTTACACTCACAATCAGGACTAGAATTTCAGTTACCAAACAAGCCAGTCATTAAGCAACTTTGTCTGATTTTACAACTTTTTTTTTTTTTGCCATGGTTGTTATGCAAATCACTTGAAGCAAACCATGTGGTCGTTAAGTGAATCTGGTTCCCTCCCCCCACTGATTTTGTTTGTAAGAAGCCAGCTGGGGAGGTCACAAATGGCGATCACATGATGCTGCACAAATACCTGGTTGCACCTGGATTTTGATCATGTGACTGTGGGGAATGCTGCAGCAGTTGTAAGTGCATGGACCAGCTGCAAATCACTTTTTTCAGGACCTATAACTTCCAACAGTCGCTAAATGAATGGTTGTAAGTTGAGGACTACTGCACCTGTATGATGCAAATAGTTATTTCATCTACGATGTTAACGAAGGAAATCGGCTGATCCAAAGTTAAGGTTTGCCTCAACTCTGCATCTGGAAACCAGCTACTGTGTCCTGATTCATTCATAATAGGTTTGTGATTCAGATTTGCGTATAGTAACACCAGTTGGCAACTCCTTAAAGAAGTTGTGGGTTTTTTTTTCCTGGGATTGTGCATGCTGCCCATGGGAATGACTGATCCCAGAAGACAAACTTGGTTTAAGGAGGGGTCTACGGATGCTACATGCATGTCTCTGTCCACCCACTTTGAATCGGAGAGATAAGTAATAAAGCAGACTTTACGAACCACAATAGTTAGGCATAACTGCTAAGCCCAAATTAAATTTCATTGCTTCCTGCAATGTGGATATCTGGCTGATTTCCCCTTGGGCCAGCTCTACCTACACTGGCAGGCAGCAGCTCCAAGAATTATTTCTATCGTCTTCTAAGTGAGGCTACCAGAGATCTGAAAACTCATAGCTTCTGTGAACAAAATAAGCATCTCCAAGAGAGCTGCAATACCTCCCTTACAAAACACTTCAGCTTCAAAAAAGCCAAATGATTAAAAAAACACACACCCTGAGATTGATTTTTGTCTTTTAAAAAAAGAGTTATTAACAGTCATTCTCAACGAATTGTACACAGCCTGGTCAAGAGGCTAAGATGGGCTGGGCGAGGGAGTCAAAACACAGGAATTTGCTGCTCTATTTTAAATGTTGGCCTTTTGGTTCTACATATTGAAAGAGTTAAAAATAGGTTTGGATAAAAGTGGAAACCTGCAGAGTGATATTGATTTTAATACTCTAAGGCCAGGCGAAACATTTGCCTATGGATCTTCATTGAGGAAGACAAGATGAGGAGAGGGAAGGAAACAGAGAGGAACTAATTATAATTCAGGACAAGTAAGCACAGACTAACAATAAAGATTTCTTTTCCTCCTCTATGTTTAGAAGAAGCAGCTTAAACCACAGATTTGTTGTTGTTTTTTTCCAGAAACATCCCAAATTGTCTGCATTCACAACCTTGGAAGTGTTCCTGAGACGAAGGACAGATATAGAAAATCCACTGAATTGGGACCACGCAGTTTAATTGGAGCTCCATAAATGATGACAATAAACATCAGTTTACATAACACTCGTATTTCTCCCTATAAATTTGGCAACTAGCATGTTTAATTATGACGGTTGCAGAGTCCCGGGGGGGTCATGTGATCACCTTTTGCGACCTTTTGACAAGCAAAGTCAATGTGGGAAGCCAGATCTACCTAACAACCGTGTTACTGACTTAACAGCTGCAGTGATTGACTTAACAACTACGATCATAAAATGGGGCAAAATTCACTTTTAACAACAATTAATGCAGGAGCAAATTTGGGCTCCACTGTGGTCCTAAGTTGAGGACTACCTATATCTGCTTTGGGAACAGAAGGTTTGGGAAGACCTCTTGGTATGGAAACTGAGTCCCTGAGACTCAGATACTGAAGGATAATAGAATAACAGTTGGTAGGGACCTTGGAGGTCTTCTAGTCCAACCCCCTGCTCAGGCAGGAAACCCTGTATCATTTCAGACAAATGGATGTCCAATCTCTTCTTAAAAACCTCCAGTGTTGGAACACCCGCAACTTCTGGAGGCAAATTGTTCTACCAATTAATTGTTCTAACTGTCAGGAAATTCCTCCTTAGTTCTAGGTTGCTTCTCTCCTTGATTACTTTCCATCCTTATTGCTTCTTGTCCTGCCTTCTGGTGCTTTGGAGAATAGCTGGACCCTCCTCTTCTTTATGAAAGACCCTTAGATATCAGAATACCGCTATCATGTCAGCCCTGGTTCCTCTTTTCATTAAACAAATAGTTATAGGCAGAGTTGATGTTCCAGATTTCAAATCTTGGCATCTCTAGGGAACATAAAGAGAACCAGGTACAGGTATTCCTAGCCTTAAACTGGGACCAGAATTTTCACTGTTAAGCAAAACAGCTGCTAAGTGAGACACACCAGATTTTATGACCTTCTTTAAAAACCATAGTTGTTAAGTGAATCATGAGGTCTTTAAAACAAATTAGGCTTTTCCCACTGACTCTGCTTGTCAGAAGCCGGCTGGGAAAGTTGTAAATTGGTGATCCCATGACCCCTGGGACACTGCAGCCATACAGCCCTACGCACCGGTTGGCAGGCACCAGAACTTTGATCACCTGACTCTGGGGATGCTGCAAGGGTTGTAAGTGTGAGGATGAGTTGTAAGCCACTTTTTTCAGCCCCCTTGTGACTTTAAATCAGGGGCCTTCAAACTTGACAGCTTTAAGCTTTGTGTACTTCAACTCCCAGAATTCCTCCTCCAGCCGTGTTAGTTCAGGAATTCTGGGAATTGAAGTCCAAAAGTCTTAAAACTTGCCAAGAGCCTTGCTTTAAATGGTCGCTAAATAAATGGTTGTAAGTTGAGGATTACCTGTTATCCGCAGCTCTTGTTTGCACGACAGGTTTAACAGGGTGAATGTGTGCAGGTTGGGAGTCCGTAAGCATCCCAACCCAGGCCGCTCAGCCAATAAACTACTCCTGATGGGATTACTCTACTTCAGGGGTCCCCAAACTTGACAACTTTTAAGACTTGTGGACTTCAACAGCTTGGCTGGCTGAGGAATTCTGGGACATAAAGTCTACAAGTCTCAAAGTTACCAAGTTTGGAGACCCCTGCTCTCCTTAGCAGAGGGTCCAACATGAGCAAAAAGGTATGTGATGCCCGCATTCTGCCTTTTGATGTCCATTAGGACGCCCACGTCAGATTTCTCCCCTGCCTCTCCTCCATTTGGGGAAAAGACGAACAAAAAATGACCCCACTTCTGGTTTCATTTGGGACAAATAGGAGGGTGAATGGAAAATGGCTGATGCAGGATTTTGCATGACTAGCAAATGAAGATAAATGAACTGAGCATGGGAGGGGAGGATTGAGTCAGCTCGGTCATGCCAAGGCCAGACGCAGGGAGCTGTTCGGAGGGGCAGACGCCCTGAGTTGCGAAAGACCTTTGGCCTGCAAAAGAACGAAGGAGAGAGAGAGAGAGAGAGAGAGAGAGAGAAAGAGAAAGAAAGAAAGAAAGAAAGAAAGAAAGAAAGAAAGAAAGAAAGAAAGAAAGAAAGAAAGAAAGAAAGAAAGACAGCCACTGGCTCTTTCCCAGCCTCTCAGCAACTATATGGGAGGATCGGATCAACCATTTCTTTGTAAAGGGTCCATAAGCCAGTTTGGTGTAGCCACCGGGCTAGAAGTCAGGAGATGGTGAGTTCTAGTCCCTCCTTAGGTATGAAAACTGGCTGGGTGCCTTTGGAGCAACCACCAAGAGACTGGGAGTTTTAGTCTCGCCTTACACATGAAAGCCAGCTGGCTGACTTTGGGGCAATCACTATGGTAGGAGATGTGAGTTCTAGGCACCGTTTCTCCTTCAAAAGGAGAAATATTGGGATAAGTATTTTATTCTGATCCTGAAGTCTCTTAAAATAAATATGAAAATGGAGCCAGAATGATTTTTTCTTAGGTTTGATGGGCAAAGAGCTTGAAAGAAAGTTTGGAACTGTTATATATGAGAGCCAGTTAGGCTTAGTGGTTAAGGAGATGGCCTAGAAACCAGGAGACAGTGAGTTCTAGACCCGCCTTAGATATGAAAGCCAACTGGGTGAATTTGGG